ATGATTTAACACAGTTGTTTATACTTTTAGCAGCTCCTTTTATTCCACAGCTGAAACTGCAAAAAATGACAGATTTTCTTTTCTGGATCTCTGACCGACGGACTTCAATCTCTGAACTCGTAAAGTTCTTCTTTTTAATTTTTGCTGTCATTTTCCTGAATGGACACTTCCTGACATCTGAGGCAGGAAACATAGCCTTATATGGTGTTTTTGGGGTGGTAATTATGCTAATCTACTCTCGCGTGCACAAGGAGCTGGACACGAACAGGTGGAATTTGGAAAAGGAATTTGGAAAAGAGAAAAAAAAGTTGCTTAATAGACCTGAAAAAAAACATCTCAAAAGGTTCCTAATTTGGCTATCCATTAGCTAAGTCAAAAATAAAACCTGTGCTCTTTTCTCCATACCTTGTGTTCTGTGACCAATGTCACTGCTCATGACGTACTGTAACTATTTGACAGAACAACATTTCAAAAACAACAGACTATCCCTTCAAAGTGTTGTTAGCAGACTCAGGCTAAAGGTTGATCACCGAGTCAGTTTTAAGTATTATAAAGGTCATGCGGTTGAGCTTCTGTAGACAACAAATTGCACTTCCTCTTACGCACTAGTCTAAGTATTTTAGTCATAGGGAAAACACACATCCCTCCGAAATAAATCCTTTCGAAGTGTTACACCATGCACTTTTAGACTTTTCCAGTGCAGAGGGTCAATGAGGTTGTGGACAGTGTGAAAGGGAGCGTTTTCTCCTGTTTAATTGTTTATCATTCTATTCATCTGTAGCACGTGTGACCAAGGCAGATCACAGTACCCCCAGGAATCAGCACCTGTTACACGTTTTAGTCCTCCATGTTCCTACACTGCCCTTTTAACCTTTGTCCTTCAAGACGGTGGCATGGCGCTGACATCCAAACAAATTCATACATTTCGAAGCGGGGCCAAACTCAGCAACAAATTCTCTAAAATCCATAGCAGATTTGCAGCCAGACAGCTGTGGAATGGGGGGGGGGG